AATCATCCGCGAAGTTCAGTTTTCCAGGGTCTTCTTGTTGATCCAACGTATTCCTGCATTATTAGTATACAACATCCACGAAATACGGTGATTTTAAGTATGCAGGCAAAGTTAGAACTGTATAACACTTTTAATCCATCATTTCCTTGCTGTTCTGTGTATAGCTATTTTAGCCATATAGTTTCCCTAGTGCTGTTTATTCTTCTACCACTTCAGTGCCAAAAAGCCTAGCGGAGCCCCATCTTGCTAAGTTTTTAAAACATTGAGTTTTAATATGCTATGTTTACAAAACCGACTGTGAGGCAAATTTCATGGTGGTACCATCTCCTTCAACCTACTCTAATTAAATTCCAGGCATTGCCAAGGGATGCACTACTGAAGATGTTTTAATCTCCCTTCCTTACGTGGTCCAAAGCCAATTAGCTGGCATTCTAGGATATTAAGTTTCACTTCTCTCAACAACGGGTTACATTCAGAAAAGGGTTGTGCACTACTAGTACTGTAATGATGTGGCCTGGGTGTGCTTATCAAACCTAGTCATAGCTGTCTAGCGAATCCACACTCATAATGAGCATCATCGCGTCGGCAGCTAGCTAGCTTCACTAAATAGTTCTTCACAAACGTGTATTCAAAAGTTCAGTTCTTCTGCAGGTTGTGATCACCATTTTGCGAGCTTCCAGCATTATTACTTGTCCCTTGGATTCCACGTTGATCTGCATTCCGTTATCTGATGCCACTTTCAACTGGCGCTTCAACCCTTCTTTCGTCTTCAAATGGTCTCCTTCACTTTACCATCGGGTCTACACCCATTCCTTCATCTATTCGGGTCATGTTCTGTGGCCTACCAGATGTATAGCATGCTTTGAATGACCACTCAGAGTATATTCAGTCCTTTCCTGTTGCCTTCTGTATGTGTGTGCAAAGATATGGATTGCAAGAGTCTGGACTCCAAACCCATATCTATAAGAGTTGTTTCTGAGATGCACATTCAAAGTGAAATTCACCTTCAACAACGATACCTACAGAAATGAGCATGGAACTGCCACCGATTTTCTTATTGTCCTTCTTTCAGCAGACTTCTTAATTTATGGTTCGGAAAACGGACTATTAACACCAACAATCGGTAAATTGCTGATTTATGAGGCTGTACTTAAGATACTTTTGTAATCTGTCATAATGATTCTGATTCAAAAGAATTTAATTATTGTCATCCCTCAGTTAGATTCCCACTGAAAGTAGGAAAAGAATCAAAGTTACAACCTCTGGATATACACTAGACGCACCAGGTTGTCCCAGTGTGCTTCCGAAGACTGTTTCGACAGCGAAACAGTTGGCCTCAGTTTTTGTTGATGTTCGGATACCAGACATTTCACTGGTAGGAATTCTGTCCAGTGATTGGGGTTAGAGTGAGATAAAAGTGCAGTCTCCGATTGTCGATTAGGGCATCCTATAACCTCACTTGGGTTGTGTGTGATCCAAGGAACTTCGAAGAGTTTTCGAAAATCCCTGGCTCAAATTGTGGTCTCCTGTAAATTGCCATTGTTTTGGGTACCTCAAACCTGGTTTTCAAGTGTTAAAGAAAGACTCTTGGTATTATTTTCGCCCTATCTTCCAATCCCCAGTTTCTTTTCTTAGCCTCCACAGGTACTGGATTGGCAGTTTGTCCATGCCTAGTAAAGTTTCTTAGAAGCCAAATTTTCTATCGAAATAACTATTCAGATTACTGACCGATACTTTGTAATATTGTAGGGGATTGATGGTAATTTTAAACCCTTTTTAGAAAGCATATCACAGGGTCAGTGAAGCTGGAAACCTAGCAAAACACATGGGAAGGCCATTCATTATTCAGTCGATAAAAAGCCTTACAAACCACAAAGAAGACATAGTGTGACGACAGAAGACAAGAGTCAGGCAACAGATCCTTTATCGAGAAAATCAAGAGATATTTATAGATTTTTATGTACATTATTATTCACTATCGTTAGCAGAGAAGCAACGTCTTCTGATTGCTTGTTTTTTTGCTGAAGGCTATTCTTGAAAACAGAACACGTAGATCAGCGAAGGGTATCTTTTGGCGAATTCATTTTCCTAGCTGTACAATCGCAAATATATATGTGTTATTTTGTATGTACGTATACATTAAGTTTGTCAAAAAAATCACAATTGGTTATGGTTATTTTAACTAAACAGGTGAAGATTGGTAATACAAGTCAAGAAAATTAGGTGTTAATGAAATTAGGGTAGTAACAAAGGTGATGAGTTGTCACAAACAGTTGTTAAAAGAAGTTATGTAATAATATGAATAGTTTGATGAGTGTGTTTTACTCAGGATGCACATAGGAACAAAGTATATAGTACGAAATTACTTAAGAGTTCTAAATGAGCGCAAGAATTATAAGCAATTAAAGAACAGGCAAAGAAACAAAATTAAGTCATCAAAATCAAAAAAATCAAACCTAATCAAAAAAGGCTATTCTGTCATCTCTTTGTGGCCGTTTCTTAGACAGTCCGGTCTGCATATCGTATCTGCCCACGTTAAATCTGCTGTGATTGGTTGGTGAGTTCCTCAAGGTTAGGCTTTGTTCTTGTTTTCTCTCCTGACCCCGATTCGGGACGTAAACATTGATATAAACTATTGTCCATAATTTTGGCTTGCAGACAGCTCTCACTAGAATAGTGCCTTTTGGGTTACTCACCTCATCATTCTGAGTTTCTTTATCACTTACTGCGTCTGAGTGGCTATCGCATATTGTGTTTTGAAGCCCCACGTTCCCTGGGCAAGTTTTCAGTGCATCTACAATATGTCCTTTCTGTGGTGTCGTTTTTCAGGCCTCTACATCTTTACAGATAACCGGCTGTTTTCCTCAGGGTCATTCTACATAACTTTATGACTAGTTGTTCCACTACTCAATTACCTCTACTAAATAGACTATAAGTGAGTTGCCGTGGCACTGGCTATCTGTATACTTTGTCATTTTGAAGGGGTATTTAATTCCCTAGTCGTTTGCGACAAAGACTTATATGCATGTATGCATGTATAAAGGTGATACTGCTAAGAATGTCCTCAGGTATCGATGTATCTGCTGCCCTAATGGGAAGCACTTACCATGAGATCTATTAATGTGCAGTACACCATATGACTGGGACGGGCTCAAAGCAGTCCGCTGTTACGACTACAGTTATTACAAAATGTCTCGGAGCCTAACATCAAAAAGGAGGGAGAGTGGCGCCTGCTGACCATCAGATATGTCGGTGGCCATTAATCTGAATCACCCCAATCTGTAGGACAGCAACATGCATTTTTGACAGCCTGAAAATTAAACATGTGATGTGATTGTGTCTGTATACCCTCCCTATACCACCGTTAAAAATGCATCCTTGCAGGCCGTGTTATATTTGCCTTCCCTTCTTTCTCTCCCATCTAATCTGATGTCCAGGGTGTTTTGACACCAACCTGACTAGTTAGGAAAGAATGCAGCACTTGCGCCTGTTGAGGGACGTGCTTCATAACGATAGTATACGGGGGAAGAATTTAGGGATACACAACCACATCAAAACACGGAAACCACGCCTATATCTGACTGAAAATCCAGTCACCTCCTTTGCACTTCGTTGGTGCAGACAAACGAAGAAACCACTGAAGGTGAAATGGCTAGCGTTCAGCTGACTTGGCGCACTTTACTAGCCCCACACAGTATGATTGCGAACCTTTCTTTTTTGTGGATGAAATTTCCTGCTGTGACTTCATATAAAAGCTAGAGTTGAAGGTATCTCATTGAAAGCATCCAAACTAGAGAATACAGCAGCTCACTACTTTATCTGATCAAGCGTGGTGAAAAGTTGTCGCGTCAACGCACTTGAAAGTGGATTATAATATTCTTTCATGGATCTGTCTGTGGGTTGCATGCAGAAAACTACGTATTATTCGCATATCAGATGACGCAAATACTGAATTGCCATAAGGAGAGAGGTGTCAGCAGAATATTTTGGCTTTAATCATTGCGTTTTAAATAGAATTTACAAGCAGAAGAAGTCAGTTTCTGTGTCACACAAAGACAATTAAAGTCACCGAAACGCTTCCATAATTCTGACCTTTTAGATGATGTTTTCCGTATGAAGGGCCACCGATTTATTTGTAAAGGCAGAGGATGCTGGAATGTGTCACACTTACAGAGCATGATGCATTCTGTTTGTTTGTGACATGTAAATAATGGCGTCAGATTAATACTTCATCTGAAGTGCTGGGTGCAACACTGTAATCTTCGCCATTGTCACTTAACGGGAATTACAAAAGTGAACTTCAATATAGAGAGTACCCAATTCAAACTCTCACTCATCTCTCTTACTTCTTCAGAGGCTAAAGGTATTGACGTTCACAGATAGTATGAAGTATACTAACGCAAGATCTAACACCCACATCTTCTATACTATTCATTCCACGTAGAGCAAATTCAAAGCAAAACAAAAGAATTGGTCGTCCAAATTACGAGTTATATTTCGGGACCAAATCGGAGTGCGAGATGATTGCACGAATGAAAGAACGTAACACGATAGCGTGCCAAATGGCGTGGATGCTTGACCGGTAACCTTCGGCTAAACAAGCTGACTTAAACAGTGAGGGTCAACATCCAGTGTTCAGTGATGAATTCTGTGGCCAATAATTCTGGGGAATTACCTACCGCTACACTCCTAACGTTGTCGAATAATGTGTATATGTATGCCATTTCATATCCGTATGTCAAATTTTCCTTGATTATTTTTTGTCTGACAGTTCAGAAATCAGTGGTTAGTTGTTATAAAAGAATTCGCATTTAATCCGTCTCCGGGAAACGAAGACGAATGGTCAATCTACCTCGGGGATTATTCACATCTAGTGAGGCAAAATGAATCAAATAAAATAAAAAAATTCAGCTGTCCGAATGCATCAATAATGAGGAATACTTTTTCAGTAGTACGTGTCTGCAAATTTTTTTGATGTTGCATTGCAACGTCACTAGTAATTGCGCGCTTAGAGGGTATTTCAGAGTTTACGCTACGCGATGACGTTGTGCTTCAAGCTTCTCCTGTGGGCATACCTCGTGGTTTTGGCTGCTTCTGACAGTGCGGATAATGTCAGACTTGCAGTCTCAAAAGAGATACTAAATGAATTCATTTTCGAGGAGAAGGAGATGACTATTTTGTATACAATTTACAACTTCCACGAGTCGTAAGTAGTTTTTAAAGTTGTGTGTGGTATATAAACTACAGTTGTTTCTGTTTCACAAGTAGTGTTCTTGAAGTCTTTCTTAAACGCAAAATATGATTTGCAGGGCCTTTGTAGCGTCGTCCTGTTGCTAGACTACTGGACTGCACTTGGATTTCAAGTTATTTTTATTATTTGTATATAAATAGTCTAAAACATGCCGAATGTCCACATCAGAACTACTTATTCCTGCCATATACTTCCACTAGATAAGATATTTACTCACGTAGTCGGTCTATACAAGGGACAAGGGAGTTTGAGACGTTGATATAAGGAAAGAACGTATTGTACTAGAGTGTGATTTTATCACTGAGTAAGTTCACTTGATACAAACACGCAGTGGTACGTTATTATTTACTGGTGACATTTCAATTTTGAAGTATTCAACTCGCCATTGTTTTACGTCACGTGTTTTATTCTTAAAATTTATAGTTTTGTAGAGATGATATAACCCTGCAAATAGTTGCATGTCGTATATTACATCAGTTGTTTCGGTGGGCATTTCATCCACACACCTATAAAAGTTTTCATCTGGGGCCCATCACTGTAAAGTCAGGGTGTGTGTCTATCTCTTTGATCTCTATACATTTTAGGTTGAAACCATCTCAGGTTCTTAATTTCTTCATTATTAAGACTTAGGAATGTGAGACAAACTGAGCCGTGTAAATACTTAACTGCTCAAACAGTGTATTTTGCAATTAGTAACAATGTTTTTTCTTTGATCATACAGGCGACCTGCAAGAGATGTTGAACTGTTTGACGTTTTTTCTGAGACAGAGTTCACACAAATCCACGGAAGTTCTTCCGCTCGTTGGTCCATAATACCGGCTGCATCAAATGTCACCCATGCCTTGGTCCTCGTGCCACAAATAAGTGGTGTTCACAACTTTTCCAGTGCTACCATCACTTACAAGTCCAATGACCTACAAGGAAATGTTGTAAGTTCTGTTCTTTTAACTAGAAATGAACAGCTTTGAATGTTTGATCATGTCTTTTTTTATAGGTTTCCACCTAAAACATTAGTTTGAAATACAAATATCAAATCAACTAGAATTATAAAAATTTTTGGAGCTAAATAATTCATGAATTAAACACTTGTATGTGATTAACAGGCATGAAAATTCGGACAAAGTATCATTGTAGAATGTAGGCTAAATATTAGCCTATTAGTGCCTCACATATCACTGTGCTGTGGAGACTGTAAAATTAGGGTCACGTTTCTTGGACAGGAATATGAAAACAAATGGAATGCTCAGGCATGTAATGGTTATTGAATATTTATTGAATAAAACGAAGTTGTTCTTAAATTCTGGTTAACAGATTACTTTATGTAGTCACTGAATTTGAGTTCATTATTTTTTCCCCACAGCTGTTACACTCTTCTGCACCTGGTCTAATTACAATCTACAAAGTGAAAGAGTACAACAAGCGTTTCGCTTCTCATACGGTTAGTGAGATTTAAATTAATTTTTTCAAAACAATTCTTAACACTATGAAAACAACGATGATTTAGGAGGGTTTTTGTTGTTCTGTTTGGTTAACTTGTATCTCGTCTCTAATTTCAACAAAGAAGCCTGAACATAACTCACATAAAAGAATGAAATGCTACTAAACAACTGGTTGCAGTCCTATGCAATTGGCAGTGAGCCATACCTTTTGTATGAGGATTAGTGATACTACGTGGCTGCCAAAACCTCGGTCACCCATTGGTTAGAAGTCAAGCGCCTAGACTCATAAGCTACATCTGCACTAACTCACAAACTCTTATGTAAAAGTTTAATTTATATTTAAGACTCATATAACTTTTAAGTTGTGTGGTCACTCATATAAATCAGTTGTTAAGATTTACATATTCGAATCTCCTGTTTTGTACTTATTCATCCAATTACACACTGTTCTAAATTTCCACATTGCTCCAGTGCATACATCCATATTTCTATTCACAAAATTTTGATACAGCTACAGTTTGATTATTTTTAGTCCATAGCAATGTAGCTGGTTAGCTTGTGCAACTAACTGAAAAAGTGAATTTCGGATTGTAACTTTGATCAACTTATGATAGTTTTATCAGTCAAAAATATATAACTAGTCGTTTCTTGTCAGGTGTCATTCTCACGTAATTGATTGACACTACTAATCTGTCATATATGTGTAAGATAATTAGCGGAAAGACCAAAGTGATGCTCAAGGAATATAAGAAGATTAAAGTAGTATGGAGTAGCATATCTAACCAAAATAAACCGTTATAATCCAAGTGAAATGATGATGGCTTTCAATGCGTTCTTTTTTGGCGCAACAATTGATTTTGAAGATATTAGAAAACTTAGCTGTAAATCAAGTTTATACCAAGTCTTATCTACTGGTTTAGACTTCCGGAAAGCGTCACTTGAGATCGGTAATCTAGCATTCGGAAATGTTCACTAACGAAACAGCAGTTTGTAAGAAAACAGTTTGTAGAATTTTCTCGGTTAGAGTGTCTCATTTAAAAGGTTACTCATCAACATAAGTTTATTGTCTTTCAAGTTGCGAGTATTCTAGCTTTTCAGATTCTCAGGTCATAGACTTTAAAAGGATATCTTTTTGTTTATATATATATATATGCCTTAAGATGTACCATCTTTTGCTGTCATTTCTTTTAACAGATGGAGTGGATTGGTTTCGCTTTGATTATTACACCCTGTTTATTAATACCATATATGTCATGGTATTCAAGTGCATCAAAGTATTAACTATCAATATGATTTCTTGTCATTTTGTATATTTTTTTTGTTCATTTGGATAATTATTTGTACTTTGTTTTTCTTTCTTATATCGTTAGTTTGTCTATGTTATTATGTACATAGAGTGAAGGACAGTGAATTTCTAATAAATGCATGTTAGAAATGCTCAGGAAATACTATTTTACTTTTTCTGTTCTCTTTTTTATGTTACTGTTTAGAATACAAATAAGTATTGTAGATTTTGTATGATACATGCATCACTTCTGTCTTAATGGTGTTAATATACGTGTGTCAGAGGGATTTATACATAGGAAGTAAGCAGGCATTTGGCAGTTTTCAATGTGTTATGCTTAAGGCAGCACAGTATAAAATGGAGTTCTACTTCATCTCGATCACTGGAATTGGATGTTGAATAACTTGCTATTTGAATTCGTCCATCCTGCTCGCGACGGGCTTGTGCGTCGGTAGCACAGTGGTTAGGACTCTCGCCGACCATGCACATGGTCCGGGGTTCGATCCCCTGCCGACGCACACCTGATATCTATGGTCGGCCTGCAAAATTTGGGCTACCGATATTACACGCTGAAAATTCCATACTTGTACCAAAATACTGTGTGGTCTCAAGCTGTAATAAAAAAAAATACTTGACGCATATGTAGGTCTATACCCAAAAATCTTACCTGGTATGAGTATTTAGGATTGGCCCTTGTGTTTAGAAACCTACCATTTATTAGTGGAAGGTAGTGATATAGGCACTAATTTGAAGAGGGAATAGGCAATATTTGTTGCGTTGGGGTACGCATCACAATAGTTTATAATTCTCACTTGATGGAAAATAACATACAATGAGTTTTTAATTGTCGATGATTGTTAAAATAGCTTCATGGGAATTGTATGCGATTTCTCAGCCTTATCTTCCATCGCTCTGAGAGTTGTGTTGGGCATTGGTGAGTTCATATGAACTATTTAGTGTTGAAATGTACTATCATTGTAGTAATAGGTATGTTTGACTTCGTTGGATAGTTTTCAAAATCAATGTAGTTCATCATCTAGTTGTAGCGATAGGTGTGTGTGGTGTATCTTCGTCGATCTGAAGCGACAATTGCATTCAACAATGTTAACCACTAAAAATTCGTTGTAAATAATTCTAACCTCCTTTCCACATGTTTGTTGACGATGTTGACGACCTTTGTATCCGGTCGTCTATGTTTTCGTAGAATTATTTCTGATAAACAGTACTGCTAATTATACAGATATCTGGGAGGATGTATCTGGAGACAGTTATTCAGTAAATGAGATTTCGAGACTTTCTTTGACTGTTCAGATACATTTCACTTTTACTATCCTCATCACTCCTGTGCGACTACACATCAACTCTTGCGCAAATGTGGATATCATTACATCTGAAGCGTCTCTGAACAATAGTATTCAGTGGAACTTAATGTTTTGCATACTTGTGATAGTAGCTTATTGGTTCATTTTTCAGTCATTATTCATCTAACAAAAAGTCACTCGTGGTCTGTAGAAAAAGTGTTCGTCTGAATACAGGTTGGCGAAACCCTGTTCATTTAGGGTTAGTAGCTGATAACGTTATGTGGGCTCACCTAGATATGGATCCGTTAAACTACTATGAAGTCCTGGAAAACACACAGTGTCTCACTATGGGTAGTGCGCAAGTGATATATAATAGTTGTATAGAGGAATGAAACTTCTTTAGTAAATAAGCCAGTTCGCTAAGGCACTTTCGGAACTTGAAAAGATAAATTTATCAAGAGAACCTATGTAACAGCTCAATTCAAATACTTATTCTATCAGTTGAATGATCTAAGTACAGTTTAATGAGGACAATAAGACCTGGTTCAAATCTAGGCTGGCTGATGTTGTGAGTCAATATCTCACTTCAACAATATTATATTCCAAAATTCTTTCTGAGAAGCATCGAAGAACACTGAGAGCTCTCAAAAATAGTGACAAAATCGTTATATTGTGACCTGATAAAGGCTAAGACGTGATGCTGATGGACAAAGAAGACTACATTGTGAAGGTGAAATCTGTCTTAAATCAACCGTTGAGGCTTAAAGCGGAAGATTGTTAGAAAGATAAGACAGGCTCACTTACAAAGCTCATTGCAAACGTACTGAGATAACTCCTGAGGAAGAAATCGATGTTTACAATGATTAAAGACCCCGAATGTCCCATCTGCCTTACATGTATGGCCTACAAAAACACAAAGGACATTTCCTCCTAAAATCTATACTTTCTACGATTATCTCGCTTCAGCACAAAGTTGGTCGTCGACGTGCAGAGAAGTTGTAACCCATTTGTGAACGGCTAGATGTGTGCATCATGAAAGATTCATTCGATTTCGTCGAAAGCTTGAACCATATGAACGTTTCCAATAAGTTTATAGTGTCATTTGATTTAATCTCCTTATTCATGAGGAACCCAATCAATGCCACTATCGATATTATTTGTCAGCATTCTGATCTCCCACTCCGAGTACCGGAATTTAAATACCTACTGGTAATGTGTACCATGGATTTATAACTTCAATTTGACAGCACTGTATACCGTCAAACAGATGGTGTAGCTACAGACTGTCCACTTAGCTCTGTTTAAACGAAAAACTTCATATCTAACCTTCAGAAAACAAAGCTGAAGTCTGCAACCGAAGAAACAACTTCATGTTGTCGATTACACATTTGTAACCACTTGAAAAACAACGATTATCCTCAGAAATTCACTAACGAGTGTGGGTGATATGAAGAGTCAAATATCAAACAAATCACATTGGAGGAGAAACCTGTCTTCACTCAAGTTGACTTTAAGTGGGATAATATTGTAGCAATAGTCAACAGAAGGTTGAATACCTCACTAGGCAGAACCTATAATGCAGCTAAGTTAGTTCCCATTTATCGGACAACATGCTCTTTGGTGCAATGAAACGTCGACAGAAACCCTTCTCATGCTAACTCTAACTGTGCATACAAATTTGCATGTATCTGAGGTATTGGTTACAATGGCAGAACAGAAAGAAGAACATTCAAGGTTACCAGGAGAGATGACTGAAAAACTCGTGGAGAAATTTACAAGCTCACTACAAATTTAAGATTGTACTGAGGATGTTGCCTAGTAGGACAATGAAAGCTTCACAAATGAACTGTCCAGCTCAGAGAAAACAGCTACACAGAAATCATCTATCTTAGCTAGAAATCTTCTCCATTATATGCAAGTGGCTTTTAGCTGCTTATGTTATTCAATGATATATACTACGAAGTAACTTTGTCAAGCTAACAATGTTTATTTTCTATATAAAAATGACTACTCCTCAGGCGAGTTCCTTAAATGCCGAGATTTGGACAGTGAGGTAATATGATAAACCTTGACATAATACTGGCCATGTATTGTTAAGTTTACAAAGATGCAAGTAGCTCCATGTTACATATAAAAGTAGATATATAAGAACTATCATGTACGAGGTGAAACTTTTCTTCCTTGTAACGCCTAAATAAGTGTTTCAGAGCATTTTTAAATGGTGATGACAAAGTCGCTAACTAAATAATCTTTGTTCCTAAGATGTGATTAAAGCCCAGAAAATGAAAATGGTAAATGGGATTTATTGTTGGAGGTATTACGCGTTCACTAAGCCAACATATGATATTTAACGTAGACGACGGAGAAAAGGTGCACAGAATTGAAAATTATTCGTTTAGAAGCACATATTGGACATCAGGTAGTAACTAGTGTCATGCGTCTAGTCCTTTGTTGGAGCATACTGAATTCTATCAGTCAAGTGTTCAGTGTGGTGACGTCTCTGACTGCAGCACCGGGAGACATGGTTTTGAACCTCCGGAGGGAAATGAGCTACTTCGGGACTGCAGATACACCTTGGTGACGAGTGCCAACAAGAAGGAAACCTACGTAGAAGGCTTCCTGCTGGTTGCTTTCAACCATCGAATATGTAAACTATACAAAGCGTCAGTACTACTCAACAGTTCTTCAGTTTAAATTAGGTGTATTGTTTCATAGTAAAGTGAGGAATGCTGCTACTTCGTTTATATTCTACAGTGTACAGGTTTAAAATATTTAGTTGTTATTCTGTAGATTGTAAGAACTTATTTGCTAGTAGTATAAAACTAGATAGTCTACAACAAATATGTAGATTATTCCGTAAAAACTTATTGAAAGGAGCACTGTTGTGAATCCAAATCTTGGAACTTAGTTCAGAGTAGCTAATATTGGACCAAAGACAAATAAACAGATGGCTTTTTAAATTGTCTCATGACTGCTTGGTGCTTCGACGGTTTCATGTGATAGTGCTTGCCAACCATGCACCTTTCCTAAGTTTCATTACCTGGAAATTTACTAGCTAGGAGTCGGCCCGGAGAAGAGAGAAGGTTGGGGGTTAGGCTAGCAAATCCACTTCGTAAAAACAACACTGTTGCTACTGAATCCTTAGACGTTGAAGCTCTGTGTTCTACTTGGAACTCAAAGAAGTAAAAAGAAAAGCAGTTGTTTTTGATTATGTTTTGGAACAAACGCCAATTCATCAGTTTTCTACGTCTTAATTAAATTAATTTTACTCTGTCGGTCGGTCGATTTTCGACATAGAACTTTGCACATATGTGCGCCAGTTCAAGTCGCCACACTCCCTCCTTGTAGCACACAAAGGAAGAGAAGAAAGTAGGAGAAATGCATAATATAGACAGTAAACAGAGGTGTGAGACAAAGGAATAGTAATAACGAAGAACAAAACAGTTTCATTGGAAATCATAAGTCACAAGGAGTGGATGCATCTGCACCAGCCATTGAGAACGATTTTGAGCCATGTCACCAATTGTTTCCAACCATTGGTTTTTACCGTCCCGAGGACCCCAACCAGTCAGGAAGTCTACACCTTCCTACGTGGCTTAGACTAACTGTTGTAGATTTCATTGACTGGTGCCATGTTTTCGTTTGACCGCCGCTAGCTCTTTTCCAGCCTGACCCTATATCAGCTAACATTGCCCTGTCGAGGAAGGCGATGACTAGGCATACGTAACACATGTCCTAACCATCTCAGTCGATGTAATTTCACAGTCTCGTCTATTGATTTCCCCGCCTTACCTAGCACTCGACGCCTAACCTCAATATTGCTCACCTTATTATACCACTTCACGCGGGAGATAGAACGCAGACACCTATGATCGAAGACAGCTAATCTTTTCATGTCTTCCACTCTCAGTGGCCAGGTCTCACAGCCATAAAAGAGGACGGAGCGGACTGTTGAGCAGTACACACGCCCTTTGGTTGATA